GCTGTTACCTTCCCACCGAAGTGGTACCTATTTATCTACTTGCAATTTCTTGCTTTCGAACTGCTAGGCTGGCAGGAGCTGGAACTAGAGACGGGGGCTCACTCCGTCATGCGGCAATCCGGGTCTCGAACTGCTGAACTACCGACCTTCCACAGCCTGCAGTTCAGCGTCTTAACCACTTGAGCCACCGCAGCTCCTGTCCCCCACCATACTGTGTTAGAATCCCCAAGGTGCCCACAGGTTCAAAAAGGTTGGGAACCCCTTTTCGAGCAAGTGGTTGCTAATAAAGAAGCATCTTCAGGTTTTAAGCACATAAAGTCCTAGAGAGAATAATCTCTCACTTGACAGAGACAACGCCGCTAACAGAGAAGGGGATCCACAGGCAATAACAGAGTTCTGTGGTTCTTTGGCTCACCTTAATGCTGCCAACTAGATTGCTAACCAGATCTCACCTGAGCTGTCATAGCACTGAACAGGTTCCCAGTTTCCCAGACCGTCACATTGTGGGACGTACGGCCGAAATCCCAAACGCACGGCCTCCCCTGCGGAACCGCGTGAAGCAAAGAGGTGGCGCCAGTAGAAATCCAAAGCTGAAAGGAAAAGGGGTGGGTGGGAGAAAACAACCACAATTCAAGCTAGGAGGAAGGCATGGGCCGTGGCTCAGTGGAAGAGCCTCTGCTTTGCATGCAGAAGGTCCCAGGTTCAATCCCCAGCATCTCCAGTTACAAAGAACCAGGCAGCAGGTGATGTGAAAGACAACTGAAAACAGTAGCAGTAGACCTGCCAATACCTTTCTGAACCTGAAAAAGGATTACCTGAAATGGATTCCCAAAATGTATCTATATTCCCAAAATACTGGTATAATGGTAATCATGTCCTTTCATATATACTACAATAAAACTAAAATAATTTTAAAGTGCATCCCACGAATGCCCGGTACCCTAATTCTGTATTGACTCCCAGGAAGATAAAGCCCTAAGGAACTTGGGGAAACAGAACCAGCTCTTTCCAAAATCCTGCAGGTGTCTGATATGTCATTTAATAACCAAGGTTCTTTCTCAGCCCCCCCCCCAAGTGGGGAGGGGGAAAGGAAGGGGTCGTGGGTCAAAGGGCAAGCATCTGCCTGGCATGCAGAAGGTCCCCGGCCTCTCCAATTAAAAGAAGAAGAAGAAAAGAGATTGGATTTATACCCCGCCCTTCCCTCGGAGTCTCAGAGTAGTTTACAATCTCCTTTCCCTTCCCCTCCCCACAGCAGACACCCTGTGAGGTAGGCGGGGCTGAGAGAGCTCTGAGAGAAACGGCTCTTTTTCAAGAACAGCTCGTATCAGAACTACGGCTTGCCCAAGGTCATCCAGCAAGGTGCAAGTGGAGGAGTGGGGAATCAAACCCGGTTCTCCCAGATTAGAGTCCGCACACTTAACCACTACACCAAACAGGCTCTCCAAAAGGATCAGGTAGGAGGTGATGTGAAAGACCTCCACGTGAAACCCTGGAGAGTAGTTGTCAATTCGAGTGGACAATACTGACTTCAATGGACCAAAGGTCTGAATTCAGTATAAGGCAGCTTCATGCATTCATGCGTGTGTTTCATTCCTTCCAACAAACTCACTGGACTGTGCCGCCAGCCGGATGGCGTAATCCCCTCCCATCAACAACCCTTCTGAAAACGCGATCCCCGGCTGAGAATAATTCAGTAGCTCATCCTCTGTCAGCGTCAGCCCTTCAGCCATTAAAAAGCTCTGCCCGAAAGGAAAACGGGAGCTGTTGGACTCCCGGACGAGCCGCTCCACTTTGTCGGTAAACCGCATGGCTTCTTGCTGAGCGGCTTCACATGCTCCAGGACCTGCAGGGAGAGGAAAGCGATGTTTAACAGGCCTCTGGTGCTCAGCAGTTTCCTACTAGCCACAGGCCTCACTTCTTCCTATATTCCCTGCTATTTCCATTGCTGTAAAAACACAGTTCTGGGGCTCACGTGGAGAGGCTTCGAGAGACTTTACGTCAACCCAGGGTGCAGCCCTTGAGACTCAGCAGTCATATGCTTGGCATGGATATCAGAAGGCTCAGAATTCTGGGTGAATGACGCAGCATTTCGTTTGGAGGTTTCCAGAGCAGCATCAGTTTATTTACCCATGCTCTGGAGAACTGAATACCCTGGAACTGGTAAGGAGCAGAATGCTCACCCATCAGCTGGGCTTTTTTTGTAGAAAAAGCCCAGCAGTAAGTCATTAGCATAATAGGCCACACCCAACAAAAGAAACTCATTAGCATATTAGGCCACATCCCTGACAGCACAGCTCATTAGAATATTAGGCCACACCCCGTGCCTTCCCTTGGCTTGCCCGGGTGCCCCGCAGCTGTGGGAAGCCTGGACAAGCCGGCCCTTAGACAGGCCGGGGAAGGCACGGGGAGGCATTTAAATGAGCCCAGGGAAATGCTGATCACCACTTTGGGGTCAGGAAGCCATTTTCCCCCAGGCCAGTTTGGCTGGGGATCCTGGAGGGTTTTTTGTCATCATCTGAGCATGGAACAGGGGTAACTGGGGGTGTGGGGGGTATTTGTGAATTTCCTGCATTTTGCAGGGAGTTGGGCTAGAATGACCCTGGAGGTCCCTTCCAACGGATAGAAGGTAGGGAGTTCCGTCTTCCTTGTCAAGCCACTTCAGAGACCAGCTTGTATTTGACGAAATTCACAAAGTAGAGCAGAGCTTGCAGCGTGAACCTTTCCACTTGTCCCTCCTAATATAAACCACTGAGCCCCCACTCTTAAAAATTTCAGTTCTGGGGTCAGCAAACCCCCATAAACAGGATAAGGGGCACAGCAGGGTCTAAAGTAAAAGGAGGGAATCGGCAGAAATCGCCTCCTGGGTGGTGACGGATGCACCCTTCCGGTGGAAGATGGTAGGCTACCAGCGACCATATGGTATGTTTTCCCCTGGAGGGCAGCTGCGAGGGAATTTAAATACCAGTGCCTAGCTCAGCTCTATGAGTCCAAAGAGCTTTGATAGTTTCCTCCTCAGAGAGGTCGTCATGCTTAGAATAAAGGATACTCTTGGGACTAAGGCCAAGTATGGTTTATGACACACAGAGCTCTTTTTGTAGAAAAAGCCCAGCAAGAACTAATTAGCATAACAGGCCACACCCAACAGCAGAAACTCATTAGCATAACAGGCCACACCCAACAGCAGAAACTCATTGGCATATTAGGCCACACCCCTGACAGCATAGCTCATTAGCATATTAGGCCGCACCCCCATGTTACCAGAAGTGTGGCCGTCCAGCCACACCCACCTTTAGCTTCTTATTCTGTTTACCTCGTTTGTTGTCAAAACCCAGGGCTTTTTTGTAGCAGGAACTCCTTTGCATGTTAGGCCACACACCCCTAATGTAGCCAATCCGAATGAGTTTCTGCTGTTGGGTGTGGCCTATTATGCTAATGAGTTCCTGTTGGGCTATTATGCTAATGAGTTCCGTTCCTGTGCGTTCCTGCCCAAAAATAGCCCTGATGACACACAGTTACAGCCCTTCGCAGCCAGCTGTATATGCCCTCCAAGATAGATCCATCTCTTAAATGTATGCTTTGGCCCTGTCCACTTCTTCAGTCTTTAGGGGAGGAAGTAAGTACTTGTATCAATTTTGTATTAGAAGAAGAAGAAGATAAGAGATTGGATTTATACCCTGCCCTTCACTACCCAAGGGAGTCTCAGAGCGGCTTACGAACTCCTTTCCCTTCTCCTCCCCACAACAGACACCCTGTGAGGTACGTGGGGCTGAGAGAGCTCTTGACAGAAACTGCTCGTTTTCAAGGACAGCTCTTATCAGAACTCTTATCAGAATTAGAATATTCACTGATCTTTGAGGATACTTATGTACTTTTCAACGCTTTGCCATTCCCAGGAAAAAAACAGCTTTAAAGGAGAATTAGATAGATTCATGGAAGAGCCTATCAATGCCTACTAGTCATGGTAGCTGAAGGGAACCTCCACACTGAATCCCAGAGCCAAGAGCCAACATCAGAGAATGGCCTCTGTGCCCTGTTGTTGGCCACCCAGAGGAACTGGTTGGCCACCGTGTAAGAAAGATGGATATTGGTCTGATCCAGCAAGGCTCGTCTTATGTTCTAATCCCCTTTGAAAGCTGTTTATGCCTGTGGCCACCAGCGCATCCTCTGGCAGCGAATTCCACAATTTAATCACTCTCTGTGTAAAACAGTATTTCATTTTGTCCGTACTGAGCCTACCACCCCATCAGCTTCATTGCATGCCCCCAAGTTCTAGTATTTTGGAAGGGAGAAAACAGAAATCCCTTTGTTAGCTCTCTCCATCCCTGTGAATAATTTTATAAACCTCTATCACGTTCCCCCCTCTATCATGTCCCCCCTTTGCTTAATTCTCAGGGCCTCTCCTCCATGGCAATATTATCTGGAAAGATCTTGTTCCAAGCCAACCCAAATTAGGGTTTCCAGCCTCCAGGTGAGACCTGGAGGTCCCCCAGAATTAGAATTGCTCTCCAGGCCACAGAGATCAGTTCCTCTGGAGAAAACGGATGCTTTGGAAGGCGGACTCTATGGCCTTAACCCCCGCTGAGGTCTCCTCCCCCACCCAACTCTTCTCAGGCTCCACCCCCCAAACCCCCAAAGTATTTTTCACCCCAGAGTTGGCAAACTAATTCAAATAAATGCATGATTCAAGTTCTGAATTCTATTTTGAAAATGGTTTGCTTTAGCAAAGGTACTGTTAACCAGGGGTCATTTCCTGCAGGAGCGCACAGGAGCGGAGCTCCGGCAGTAAAGAGCCCAGGGGGCGGGCACATGCAACAAGCCCCA